CTAAGACAAGAGAAAAATGTCAAGCTCGATTAAGCTCTCCTGATATGGTAAGTACCTGAGATCATCGACCATCTTTGTCACCCTGCGTTGCACTTGTCCAAGAAGGTCCATATCTTTCTTCAACCACGGTGTCCAAACTGGCATTCCGTATTCTAAATGTGGTCCTCACAAAGGCGCCAAATATTTTCCCGAAGAGTTAAGGAGGAAAGCTTTTGAACGCTCGTTTAATCCAGAGCAGGGTACTAGTTTCCTTCTGGGTGGCCTTTTTACAGTGCTCTGATGGCATCAAGTTCGTGGTTGTCCATATACCTAGATCTTTGTGCGTATCAACTACTTTTAATGCGGTTCCATTGATAAAATAACTGTTTTTCTGCGACATTTTTCGACCCGGGCATATGAGTAGAAGCAGACACTTGGATACACTAAAGTTAAGAAGCCACGTGGACGACCATATAACCAGTTTATTGATGTTCGACTGTAAGCTCTTTGCGTAGTCGGCGCAGCAAACTTCAGCCCATCTTTTTATGTCATCCGCAAACATGACAGCTGCGCAATCAAGGTCATTGAGGCAGTCGTTTACCTATATCAGGAAGAGCAACCGGCCGAAAACTGAGCCTTGTGGTACACCACTCTCGACATTTGTCCATTGCGACGTAGAGTGTCCAACAACGACCCTCTATTCTCTGAGGGACAAGAAACTGCTGATCAATTTATACATTTTTCCTTGAATTTCCATGTCCCAAATCTTTTGTAGAAGAAGCCTGTGTGGCACACTCTCGAAGGCGTTTTTGAAGTCGAAAAATATGACATCAATTGGATAGCCCTTATCGGTGGCCTTTGTCTACTTCTCACGTGAGTAAAGAGCACTCGTGAGGCAAGGGCGTCCTGGGTGAAAGCCGCGCTGTCCATCACATAATATTTTGTTGCTTTCAAGGAATTCCGATAAATGCTTCTTGATAATGCGCTCCATTTTTTGCACACGATGCAAGTTAAACTAACAGGACTGTGATTTGCGTAACCAAGTCGTGGACATCCTTTATAGATCGGGGTGAGGTTTGCCCACTTCCATTCTTCGGGGAGTTCGCCTTCTTTAAAAGACCTCTGGAAGATGGCAGGCAGAGGTTTGCATAGTTCGTTAGCTAATTCTCTTAGTGCTAGTGCAGAAATTTTATCCGGCCCAGGTGATTTGACAGGCTTAAGGTTGAGTAATTCGGCCCTGAGTGTGTCCTGTGAAAACTCTAGATCCTCTATTTTGGGCAATAAGGAGAAGGGTAAGGGTAGAGTTATCTGTCGATGAGCGGACGTACCGGAAGCAAGAGTTGTAGGTTCTCG